ATCTTCAGCACTCAGAGGTGATAATTTTTCTGACGAGAATTATCCTGATAATAGTGCTATAACAAAAAGGCAAAAAAAAAAAAATCAGCGAAACCTTTAACTCCACAAAAATAATTAATTCTAGAACATCATCACAGAAAATTTACAACATAAATTTACAATAAGCATATTATTCAATTTAATTAATCGTAAAGTTCAAAAGAAAAAATTTCTATTTTTTAAAAAAAGAAAATTATCAAAAATCTTATTTTATATGTAATAATAAGTTTATACATAATAAGTTTATAGTGCAGTAGTAACACAATCTACTACGTATTTGTAGATTCTAAGAAAATAGAGTTAAAACTAGTTTTTACATATGAAATAAAACCGGTTCAAACTTTACTAGAGTATTCCCCTAGCAGTGTTGGTTTTGGACATATGTTCAATTAACTTTGAAAAAGTAATCTTCCAATCACTGCCCCCTAGTTTTACCACCAAAATCAGTTACTGTAATCAATTTTTAATAGAATTTAATTATTACTACAAATACAAAAATATTCTAAGTTCAAATTACATTCAACTCAAATGTATAAAATGCATTTACATCCAAGTTCAAATTTTATTTAACACATATAAAGCTTTAAATTTTAATTTAATGCTATAGTAAAATGTGTTTTATTATACCATTCAGGTTTTTGGAAGCTTTTTTGCTTGGTCAAAATCTTTAATAATCTACCATTGGATAGGTTTTAAGTTTGATTTAATACTTCGAAGCTTTGAAAAAATTATTAGGCTTCAAAACAATTAAAGCGTCTAAAACAAAAATTAATAAATATATTTATTTAAACACAGAAATATAATAATAAATTTTTTTTATTTCTCATAAAAAGTTCTTCTGTGCTTTTTTAAAATCTCAGGTTCGGATTCACTATCTTTAATATTTTCCTAATTATCTATATTTTAGTTTTCTGAACTTACCAGATCAATCGTTAAGTGACTTGTGTGCAATCAATTAAGGTCAATGTTTGAATATTTTCATATAAAGTTTCTTTAGCTTCTATAATTAAAGGATATTAAGAATTTCGTTGTGCCCAAATTAATATAGATTTAGAACCATGATATAATGACAAACTTTCAAAAAATTCATTAACAAGATATTTGCACAATAAGAACCAGTTTTTAAAAAAAATAAAAACAAGAACATGTCCAATTTTGATCTATTGTGTGGTTAATTTATTCTACTCAGTTTTGAAAAATATATACATGTCTGTGAAATTTAGAGCTTCCTAATTTTCAAATACCATTCGAATCAAATTCGGATTCATTGTAATACATTCGATTAAAATTCGAATAGGGACAGTCTGGATTCAATTTAGATTAATAATAAAACTGTATCTTAAATCTTAAAATCTCAATTTTTTGCTGCTATGCAATATTATAATTTTGGCGATTATAATTACTTGTAGGCTTTGCGCGATTAATTTGTATAACCACATGTATTTCGCATATTAATTGTTTATTCACAATAACCTATTAGCATAATTTAATTACAAATTAAATTGCGATCTCATCTTTTTAACTTGTAATCGCATGTTTTTTAATGATCATGTGAGTGAAATAATGAAACAAATCAATCTCCAGTAATTTTCCTTTAAATGCATACAAAATTGAGTTCATAAACATAATACACACATAAATAATCTACAGACAGAAAACCTCTCTAAGCATTCTTATCTTGGATCATTATCTTGCCGGTTAGAGTTTTAACAAAGATTTGCATTCCTTCACGAAAATGCATACAGATATGGATAATCTATCTCAATATCGCTCAACTTACTCAACATTGACCAATCAGAATCATCACATGATATACTTTCTTAGGATTATAATTCGAATTATCCTTATCCTCAATCCGAAATATATTTCGGATCTATCCGCCTGCAATTGACGGATAAGGATATCCATATTTAATTCGAATTATCGGATCGATCTGACTTATTCGGATTGCAGATCAAAGCATAGTTCAAAAGTATGTTTTAGTCATTAAAAAATCAAAAATTTAAAAATATATGTGTATTTGCTAGATTTTTATATAGTACTGTATAAAAAATGTTAATTAGAAATCAGAAATCATCTATCTAATCGATTTCTTTGCAAATCGCAATAAATGCTAGATATCGATATAATTTGGTAAAGAAAGCATGTGATTTTTATTTGGCCAATCAAATTTATTAAAACGAAACAACTTGCTGACAACTAATTGATTTGAAAGTTTTGACCAACTTGGAATGCTAGCTATGTTCTCGCTAATAAACTTTGAGTGATCTTTGAACAAATTTTATTTGTAATGTGACCTTACTGTACATACGTGTCTGTTATTTTTCTAGAGATCATGTGACTTTCTAATTATCGCGCAAGCCCGAGAAAAATGTGATAAAGGTCTCTAGATATGCCTTATCAAAAATGTATATGAATAATCTCCATAAACAACCATCAAAAAAATATGATTAAAAACAATTATTAATCTTTAAAAATTATTCTCATAATAGAAAGATTTCTATAAATAATCAAAGATTGTTTCAAGCGATTAGTCTTCAAAATATTTTCATCATATAGTTAATCTAGAAAAATTTCATCATAGATAATCTTTAAAGATTATTTGAGCATAGCTATCATATTAATTATCCAGAAGCTATTTAATCGTATAGCTAATCATGTCATTTCCATGACAAAGAAACAATGACCAAATATTGTTGTAGAATTTGTAAAAGAACCTTTTCGACCCTTCACGGTTTGACGCAACATGCCAATGCTATGCACCAAGAAAGGTTAGAAATTCCTCAACCTATTCAACTAAGGCCTCAACAATCGCAGCATTTACAAGGTTCGCAAGCAATATCAAGACCAGAACATGATGATAACTTGTGAAGCATGCCTATTATGAGGATGTCAAGAACAATTTCTCCAACCACTTACGCAAAAAATCTTGAGAAAATGGAAGACATAGTATTTGAAGAAGAGAATATTAGCAACTTAGATGTGAGCAACATTGAAGATAACACATCACCACAAAAGGAATTGCATTATTTTCTTCGAAATTTATCGAATAAAATAAAACAAGCTATTGATCAAGAAATGATAGAAGATACGTCGGATGAAGAAGATGATGAATTGTTAGTAAACCTCGACAATGATGATATCGAGCCTGAAGACCTTCAAAGAGCAACGTTAGGTGATGCTTTGGATTCTATTGAAGGAGTAAATAAACTGAAATATATAGTAGGGTGGCCAAACGATACTTACAAGGACTTCATGGAATTAATTATAGAAGGTAATATTTCTAACATTATCGGGGATAAAATTATTAAGTTCTTCAATAAGCATAGTAATTTGGAGGTATCACCATTACCGAAGTCAACCAAAAATAGAAAAGATTACCTTAATCAAATAAAATCTCCTTCGATAGACTTTAAAGAAAAAATAGTAGAAAAGTACTCTGGAAATAACATTACACTCTATTATCATCCAATATTTTGAGTGATTCAAGCTCTTTTATAGCGACAAGAAGTGAATAGTAACGTTGCTCTCAAAGGTATTCTAAAAAAGGTGAGAATAATAATTCTACAATATATGCTGTTGGCCATCGTAAACAGTAGTACTTGGAGTCAAGAACTTTCATTTCGTACTATATAAGAATTAGACTAATTTAGGTAAAACATAATAATTAATATGGTTGTATTTCATGTCTCCAAGAGCCAGGTTATTAGGTGGAAATAATACTGAACCTTCATAATAATGAATCTTATTTTTAGAGAAAATAAAAATGATGGCCGACGATACTAAGAACAAATAATCTTTTAATAAATTATTTTTTAATTATATTTCTTAGAACATTAAAGACGAGAGAGTTTTTGGTGAATCATATGAGGGAAATTGGTGGCTTGCAACAGAAAAAACTCTTCCACTATTGAATAGCTTACTATCAATCATCCTTTATTCTGATGCTACTACATTTGACGACCTTGGCAAGACTTCTGGACACCCAATATTTCTAACACTTGGAAACCTTTCAAATTGGGTCCGAAATTCACCAAATTCTAAAGTTCTTTTAGGATTTTTGCCCGTTATTAAAGACACTGAAACTAAAACTACTGATGTACTTTGAAATAAACAACGTAAAATATATCACAAATGCTTACACATTATGCTCCGTCCTTTGTTAGAAAAATCTGATGCTTTATATTTTAGAATTAGAGGACGACCAGTTGCCTTTGCTGCACGTATTTCATTCTTTCTTTTAGACATGTTAGAAGCTAATGAAATAACAGCAACATATAAATCAGCACGATGTAATATGCCATGCCATACCTGCATGGTTCTGCGAAACGACTTAAATCAAATAAATTTAAAGTTAGAAAATATGCCTCTCAGAACTCCAGAGAATATGCAGCAGATTATAAAAGAAAAACGTGGCAAAAACTATTCTATACATAATATAGATAATGCTTTTTGAAAGTTTTTGTAAGTGCTTAAATTATCACCCTTTCAACAATTCTTCAAAAAACTTACAATAAAAATTTTTTCAGAAACATAAACATTTATGAAGCTTGCGTTCCTGATTATATGCATCATATCGATCTTGGTCTTTTTAAATACCAATTGGACTTTACTTTGGATATTCTAAAGGAAGTTGGAGGAACTGAATTGCAAAAAAAGTTCTATAATCATCTTTGCCAAATTCCTCGTTTTCGTGGTCTTAAATTATTAAATAATATAGAATGTATAAAAATAATAACTGCAGCAGACCATCGTCATCTAATGAAGATCGCCCTTTTTGCCTTAGATGATATTTTTAATAGATGGAATAAAATAAGCTGCAATGAACTTTGCGAACTTTATGCAAAATTTGATAAAATGTATATTATAAGCAGGAAAGAGTCGTATACTGAGAAAGAGTTAGACAATTTCGAGGTAATACTAGTAAATTAATTATTTTACAAATTAGTACTGGTCAAATTAAAGTGATTTCATAGACATGAGATCACGTGAAAATCTTGTTACATATTGCAGTCCAAATTCGTGGTGGTCGATCAAAAATTTGCTGATCAAATTGGTCACGATATAATAAATTATATTTAAATATTCTATTTAACCAATTTGACCAGTATAGATCCTTTGACCAGACTAGTCAAATTAGTCAAATTGGTCTGGTCCAATGGTCAAACTGGTTTGGTCAAGCAAACACTGGTTTTAGAATAACCTTTTAGTATGTGGCAGATCATTTCTATATCGTGTTAAATACCTGACTATATCGGGAAAATATGAAAAGGTCTCTGAACACCCACCGCTGGGAAATATACCGACACAGCATGCACATGATTTAACGCAAAGCAAAATAGCCAGAATTAAACTAATCGACACAGCATGTAGTTAGGTTTAGCATAAGAGTATACGGAATTAGTCATATGTGTGCTGTATCGGAATATCTTCCTTACATATTACAGTATTAAATAGCAAAATATTGAATCCTTTAATATACAAATTTAAAGCTAAAATTTTTCACCATTTGAAATAGGAAGCAATTATTGATTGGTGCAAAGAGTTTAGAAGAATCTTCTCTCCATTAACTACTAGTAGTTATCCTAAATTTCACAGTTAGAGATATCATGCTGGTATTTTTTAAACTTCTACTGTAATCTAATTTTATCTACTTATAAATAAAAATAAATGATCCTTCAAATGCTTCTTGTTATATTCAGTTACTGCAATTCACAACTACAGCTTGTTGAATGGTCTATCTACAGAAACTTATAAAATGCTTCATAAAACATATGTTAAAAACCCGTATCGATCTTCAAATCGAAAAAATATAATGCAGCAGTTAATAAAGGCGGTTAGTCACAAACTTTAATAGATTAAAAAAATCAAAAAAAAATCTTTTTTTTAAAAAAAAAAATTAAAAAAATTTCTTGCAGGTGAAACGCAAAGAAATAGTGTCAACAACCAGTAAAATAATTCATAGAAAGGCTGAGGGTTTGGGAAGATTCTTTGGAACCTAAATCTGGACGAAATTGAATCAAAAGTAATCCTTTTGAGAAAGTCGAAAAATCCACCACACGTTAAATTAATTGAAGGCTTGTTACAAATAATTTTTGCATTGGATACCTTCCTGGATACTTCTTCGTAAGATTCTAAAAGTGACGACTTCTGCATTATAGTTTACGAGACCATACATCTAAGCAATAGTGAAATTCTGCGAACTTCGGGGGATTTCCAGGGCAAAGAGTGGTTTAGTAATGTTTCAGTTACTCCTGCAGAAGACCAGAATGAATCAGTTGATGGTGTATGGTATGGAAAGGTAAATAATTCCAATTACCTTCAAAAGAAATTTATTTCTCCAGTATTTAAGCAAGTTGTATTTTTCTATAGGTATTGCTCCTTTTGAAATTCTTTCGAGGTTTATCAAGAAAACCGTATGAGCTTGCACTAGTTCGTTGGTATGACACTCTTTCAAAGAAACCAGAGCTTTATGGCTGTCCACAGTTATATTATTCCGAAGAATATAATATTATCCCTATTGGATCCATTATTCAAGAAGCACATATTATACCAAGATTTGATAAAGAAAATTGTTATTTGTTAAACCAATATATGTTTTAAATAAAAACAAATAATAATAACTATTAATTCTATGAATAAGTATGCTATTCTAAAATTGTCATAGAAGTAGTTACCTACTGAATTTGTAAAAAATCTTTGCCGCTAAATGCAACGATAAGTATCTTTGTAGTGAAAATTGGATCTATAAAACTCTAAAGATTCACAATGTCGATATAAAAGTCAGATCCCACCCCTGCTCCCTTCTGCTGATTTTTGATAAGTTAATGCCTTATGATCACTTTTTTCAACTCCAATTCCATTTCGTAGAGTTGTTAATAGAATACTTCAACTATCCCTTAAACCGTAAGCTAATCCAGGCAAATTTGCCTGCAAAAATTTATCCGATAATTGCGCATATTCACCCTGTTAAAGTCATGTATTTAAATGATCTAATCAAGTTATGGATGTGCCGTTTGGAATTTGTTGGATATCGGAATTTTAAACCGGTGGAATTTCAATAAATTGGCAAACTCAAGAGCATCTCAAGTGAAGTATAAACATGGCTTTTGCGGGGGGCTATTTCACAAAACTACAGAAAAGATAAAAGAAAGATGTCATTCAAATGGTTAAAAGTAGTATCAGCTAAAAGCTCTATGCAAGTAGTATGCCCAGTATTAATATTACTGAGGTTGACATAGTGATTTATGCAAATTGTTCTAGCAAAAACAATTTTGATCAAAAATTTGCATACAAATTTTCCTGCAAAACGGTTTAAGGGATAATAAAACATATAAACTACTTCAGTTAAAAACTGTGTGGTTTATATGGTTTATTAAATTTAGAGTACTCTATTAACAACCCTGCTATTTTTCATATTTAGCCACCATTACCCATCTATGCTGATGTTTAAAATAAATGAATGCTTTAGTTCATCCTCTTCTATTTCATTAGTAAAAGCCCAACATTATAAATTCTCATCAATAATACACTCTTCCTGTTGTTGTTTTATAATATGTGAACTTTTTATATACGCCCTTTTCATAGTGCAATGTCTAACATTATATATTCCAAATCTCTGCTAATTTTTGATAATAATAAATGCCTCGCATTCATCCTTTTCAGTTCAATTTGATAAGATGAATTTTCATATACATTTCTATATCAAAAGATTTTTGATAATAAATAAGTATTTATTGCTTATTCTTTTTAATTTGAATTTTGGCAATAAAACTCTTACCTCAAAACAAAGCTTTTTCTTAATCGCAACATTGATCAACTAAAAAAACTATTATAAATAGCAACTTTTGAAAAACTTTTGAATACGAAATTAGTCTTACGATTTATCTTAACAATCACTAAAGCGAAATATATTCACTTAACATTATTGATCTTAATATTAGAGTAGATCCAAGTTATAAGTATCGAATCATCTATTAAAAATTTTTACAGTACTTTAAGGGGATAAAGAATCTATTCTATATTCACCCTCGTAACTTGTAATGATTCAAATGCATATATAAGTCATGATATATAATATAAAAATAAGTTGAAATACTGTAGAACACTGTATTCAGCACCCGGGGTATAAATCAAAACCACAGCATTTAACTTGATTTGTACCTGGGGTATTGTGTGAACCACAAGGATTCATTTTATTAGCATTACTAGACTTGCAAGCCTAATTTCTACCCAGAGTTTTTCTTATGATGGTTTTGAAATATAGCCTGGGTCTAAATCTGGGGGTACTGAATGCAGCACTCTATGGTAGTTATTATATAATGAAAAATGTTATAAATCTAAATGCTATATACTTGCATTTATATATATCTATTACAAATGCTTTATTATAGCAAAATCATTTTAATTAAAAAAAAATCTTAGCTTATATTGAGAGATCACATAACTAGCTGAAATTTAAACTTCTTTTTTATATTAACTCTTTACTGGGTTGAAAGTTTACTATAACGAGAGTAACTTGCAATAGGTTTAATTTCACTAATAGAGAGGATTTTTTATCTAAAGATTACAAAAAATAGATATAAAGCCTCTTAATTCT